TAACTTTCTAAAGTGTCAAATTATGTGGAATAATAGCGGCATCTGGCAACACAGCAGAGGCTGTGCCCGTGATCTCACTCACAACTAAATATGTACTCTACTGTCATGAACGGCCTTTTCTCAGAAAAGTTTGAAAACAAAGGACACTCAATTACACAGACAGCTTCTGTTTGCGCAGCCAATTAACTGCTTTGTGCTTTTGCCGCATGTTTCAGAAGGACAGCTGTTCCTCATCTAACCAGGACTGCTAGGTCTAGTCCATCCGGTCCTCTGTTGGCCGGTCTAGAATTCCCTCCACAAGCAACACTGCATATGTCCTGCTCATAAACCTTTAGCACTTCCATGTGGGTGTAAAGTCCCTCTCCTCTCATCTCTACTCGACTTGTTATGTGTACTAGTGCTACTGTTATTGATAGCGTTGATAACATTTCTGACAGATAATATTATGAAGTTTATTTATTTATTTAATTTTTTTTTGCATTCGCCTGACCAAATGTGGTATCCAATTAGCAATAACCTGTCCATGGGCTTTTTTTATTACTGTCAGTTTAAGTGCCAGCGATGCAGTGTTGCCAGATATTGCTATGAAAACAAATAAACTGAAATTAGTTCAAATATATATATATATATATATATATATATATATATATATATATACTGCAACTTACCACTTTAATAACTTTCTAAAGTGTCAAATTATGTGGAATAATAGCGGCATCTGGCAACACAGCAGAGGCTGTGCCCGTGATCTCACTCACAACTAAATATGTACTCTACTGTCATGAACGGCCTTTTCTCAGAAAAGTTTGAAAACAAAGGACACTCAATTACACAGACAGCTTCTGTTTGCGCAGCCAATTAACTGCTTTGTGCTTTTGCCGCATGTTTCAGAAGGACAGCTGTTCCTCATCTAACCAGGACTGCTAGGTCTAGTCCATCCGGTCCTCTGTTGGCCGGTCTAGAATTCCCTCCACAAGCAACACTGCATATGTCCTGCTCATAAACCTTTAGCACTTCCATGTGGGTGTAAAGTCCCTCTCCTCTCATCCCTACATGACGCCTCCGCTAACCTCTGCGTCCAGTTTACATCTACATTATCAAGTGTCAGTTTGACTACTTCTTTAAACTCCAACCATATTCCCCTTCCATCCTATACCTAATGGGACTTTCAAACTCATTGCCCTTGAAACTCTACGCATCCCACGTTCATAGCACATTTGCATGTGTTGTACGTTTTTTTTTGGCTTGTGGAATCAAAGATGATACCCTAATTTCCTGTCCTAAAGGTAATATTGAGTTGCGAAGCATTAGCTATGCCACCATGTGGTAACACTTGGAAAGAAAGCAAACCTAAAATCTGATATGGCCCTAAAAGTAGTACCTGCTAATTACATAATGGGAATTAGTTATTCTGAGCTATCGAAAGGTAGCAGATACAAGCAATTGTTCCTGGGCTTTGTTGTGTTGTGCCAATGCGCCAGCGTTTACGCACCCTATCGCCGCCTGCCCACCGCCTCAACAGATAAGCAGGCAGGAAACAAGAAATGGATTTATTTGATGCTCCGTAGCAACACGGTCTGGCAAAAGTGGGCCGACAAGTGAGAGACAACCCCTTAATGAGAATCCTCAAAGGGAACAAGGCAGAGGGCAAAGCAATGACTCCCGTGCTAAAGATATTTGGAGAGGAGATATTTCACAGGCTTACACAACTGAGATTCCCCACAAAGAACTCTCTTCAGAGGGTTTCTCTCTAAAAAAACAAAAAAGCTCTATAAAACGGGCTTTTGAGAAGTTCAGCCTCAATCAAGACGTTTAACCTCCTTGCAATTATTATTTTTTTGATATCTAACATGTGTTTGAGAATGATAATTATGTTTGGTCAATGGACACAATTAAATTGGTTCAAAGAAATGATAGTGTGTAGGGGGAGTTGTGTTGAATACAAAACAGTACGATTGCATGCAATGCACTACATGTTAGTTTAAAGCAAAGAGAATATAATTACCCTTACGTTTAAAGTAGAAAATAATATATAGAATGATAATCAGGATGATGAAATCAACAGACATTCAAGTTAGTTCGCAGTACAAGGTGACCTGAGATTTTTCTTTGAGCTAAAATGAACACAGAACTTATTCAAAAATATATTCTATTCCCATTCTGTCATTTTGGAATGATAGATCACATTATAAAAAATGTCCTGTTTGGATTCTAAGGCATAAGTTTTTGGTTGCTTAGCAGACATCAAATTAACTTATAGGATAGAGGATGTTTCCCTGTATCAACACTGTTCCTATCTCAAAGATATTAATATCATTTTTTACAATTTTGTCATTGCTTATAAGCTTATAGGTTATTATCTGAAAATATATAAGCAAGCAACATATAAGCATGTTTGCTTTTGCTTTAAGCAGAAAATGTGCAGCCAAATTTATAACTGCATGTCATGTTATCTGAACTGAACCAGTCCTAATGGGCATTTCTTTGACAGTCGCCACCGTCGCCATCCTCCTCTTTTGAACGCAACAGCCTTTCGCTTTCTATTCTACTGAACACTGTGGTATCACAGGCTTTGACATTGGAGTAAATGTAAAATTAATGGATCTGGTTTGCCCAGAGCGTGTGGATTAAGCTACAGGGGTAGTTAGTCAGGTCAGTGGAAGAAAGAGAAATTGCTTTTTCCGACCTCAGTGCATTTTGGGAGTCACGACGGCGTAATGAAAGTCAAAGAAGAGCATTGATGTGTTCTCCGAGTTTTGTTTGTTTGCCTGTTTGTGCATTCTGAACCTACTTTTTTCTTATGTTTCTTTCATTGTTGCAGCTGTCGCATGACAGCGGACATCTATAGGGCATTGCTCATAGTTGCGACATGAAGAAATATATTTTCGTTTGATGTCAAAGCCCATAACGACACGCCTTGGGGTGTAAAAAAGATTCTGTAAGAAAACAACCACATCTTCCTTTTTCCTGTGAAAAACAGAGTAATGACTGAACTGATTGTAAGTAGAAAAATAAACAGCCCTGATATTTTCTCATCACAGAAAGCAAATTGTATTCGATATTTGACTTGATATTCGTAGCCAGTTCATCTATAGATTTTTTTTTTCCTCACACAATCTCATATAATCCAATGTGACAGAAACAAGCTTTTAAGAGAACCTTGTTCTCTTCGCATTCTGTCACACGCTGCCTTCAAGTCATGAAGAAATGATCACGTTTGAGACGAGCGCACATGTACACCACCAAAATGTCCTAAATAGCAGTGGGAAACACTGGATTATCTTTGAGCCCGGGGTTTTGTAGGAGTGGGAGTGGTGACGACTGAAGGAACGGCTGAATCAGAGTTAGGGCCCAAAAAAAGGTCTTGAGACATTATCTTGAACACCACATTTTTTTGTGTTATGTGCAAAACACAGCAAAAGATGCGACACGCAGACACAAAGATCAAAGATGTTCATCTAGAGCAAGGTTCCTCAAATCTTCCCCTGGAGGGCCAATGCGCTGCAGAGTTTAGCTCCAACCCTGATCAAACTCCCCTACCTATGATTTTCTAATGATCCTGAAGACATTGATTAGCATGCTCAGGTGTGTTTGATTAGGGTTAGAGCTAAACTCTCCAGGAAAGTGGATCTCGTGCATGGGCCAGATTTGAGGATCCCTGATCTACAGCATGTTTATATAGCAAAACAACTATGGAAAACAGAAATGCAGTCTGTATTGGTCTTAAAAGTATGTTGCACAGCTCAACAGTGTGAGCATTCCACTCGCATTTACAAATAAAAGTAGATGTGTGCAAACAAAAATTCCTGGGAGGTCTATAAAAAGTCTTAAATGGTCTAAAATAGTCTAAAAGGTCTTAATATTTTATTACGTTGTAAATTTGGGATGGAATAAAAGGAATCATGAAACAGCCTATAATGTGATTATTAAACTTAAAAAGGAGCCTGGTCTCATGAAAATGCATATCAACAGCACAATTTTTTATTTAACTTTTTTTTTAAACTGACTTTGGTGTGCATGCCTTCCATACTGTTTGACGTGCATATAATATGCATTTTGGCATACATATAATATGCACCTACCCCACATCCCTAAACCTACCAATTGCACAGAGCTGATCCTCCCTATACGCAAAATATGCAAGCTGCGTAGGGCCCCCGAAACACCAGAGGACCCCCTTGCTCTCAAAGAAAATTTAATTTTAGTTTTGTTTTTGAATTTGGCCAGCGGTTATGAAAACATGAATGATCGCCCTTTCTACGCAAAAATCAGTCAAATCATGTAATGTGAATGTCGTACAGTCTCTTGCTCGAGAGTAAAAAAAACGAGTTGAAAGCGCACCGAGCTGCAGAAGAGATATTGTTTCTCAAGCGCTTTCCGCGAGCGCGATTCGAGACGGAGTGAAACACGGACAAATGCGTTTCATTCATTCGTTCATAACCACTCATACCCCACTCCACCGCCGACACAGTTTTGCGTAGGGCCCCAAGAAGTCTAGGATCGGCACTGCAATTGCGTATCATATGCACATTTCTGTGTCCATTTCTTGCGTATGGTACACCAAACAGAAACAGAAAACCGTGCCATTGAAATGCACTTTTATGAGATCGGGTTAGGTTTTAGAGCATTTATGATGATTAAGTTGTACGAGTAGTGCATATTTTTCTCCCTGGTGTTTTAGAATGAGCAGCCAGCAATTGTAAAGCATAGACGTTTCAAAGTAAGAGTCCCTTTGTTTTTCATGCTTGTTTCTATTTAAAAGTCCCACATTATGCTTCTCTCGCTCTCTCTCTTCTGGTTATTGTTGGTATTTCGGTTACACAATAAACCAACAAAACTCTCTTCTGTCCTGGACAAGAATGTCTTATTGTATGCTTTAGGAAAGACAAAAACGCATTATTTGATACTTTTTCACTCCGCCTCAAAAGCAGCTGAATTTTTCACCTTAGGAAAAAAATAAGTGTTGTAATTGAATTCGATTATCTGTTATGTTTCCTCAGGTGCCAGGATTCAGTATGAAAGGATAGGAAGTGATGTCACTATGCAGTGCGGCTCTCTGGACAACGACGCCTCGGTAACATGGAAGGTGAACGGTACGGACGTGAAGGCCCGTCGGCGGGAAGAAGGACCACGGCTCATCCTGATGGAAGTGAACATGAGTAGCAATGGCCTGTACAGCTGCTTCCAGAACCCCGATGGCCAGCGCCGCGACCAGATCAATCTTCGCGTCGGAAGTAAGTAGTGTGTGTTTATCCCGCTTTCCTCTTCCTCGTATTCACTACATCCTTCCCAGAACTCGGAATAACCCTGCACAGTGTTTACCCCGACACTTATTTTTCTAAACAAGCACTGCACTCGTTTCCGCCACTTGCTGCCCGGTCATCTCTTACAGGCCGGTGACCTCTTGTTTGGATGTCTCATCTGTGTATTTGAAGAGTCTAATTATTAACAACAAACGTCATTGTTTGACCCTGACCGCTCCTCGGTTCTCCTCGGGCCCCTGATCCCAAGCCTTGTCTTCTCCAGCAAACAGCTGCTTCTATCTGTGTGGGAGGCACTGGGGTGCAAGTTTTATGTCTTATCTATTTGTCAACTGGATTAATTTGTCATGCTAGATCTTTTTTTATGAGGACATACAACACGATGGGAGAGGAGATGGTAAACGTCCAGATGTGCGCAATACAACAGGGTCCCCCTGGCTTCTGAGTGGCCCCCAAAAAACAATTCAATCACAAAAAGTTTGAGCATTCAAAATAAGTCAATTGTAAATCAGACAGCAGTCGAATACTGCAATGAGACTGTACTACTGGTACTGTAGAAAGACTGCTATCGTTACCAGGGCTCAGAAATAAGAGTTTTTGGCCAGTTTACAAATCAGTTACGCACCCTTTCAGGCCTGTGTTGACACTGACATTGACACTTAAAATCTTACATTTGTTGTTCTTAAATATACATAAATACATACATATTTATTTATTTATTTATTTTCCCATTGTTGTTTGGTTTAATTTTGTTTGGTTAAATGTTTTCCAAAACTATACAAAGTATGATTTTTTTTTTTTCCGGAACTGTATACATTTCTTTTTTTGTTGTTGGAACTGTATAATTTTCAGCTTTATTATTATTATTATTATTAGTATTGTTATTATTATTATTATTATTATTATTATTATTATTATTGTTGTTGTTGTTGCTGCTATTATTATTATATTGGAATATTTTTGGAATTCCAGTATTTATTTATTTATTTATTTATCTATGTAAAGAAAAGTTTTTGTAAAGAAAACCTAATGTTTTGATCTCTGATTACATTTTATTATTTTAGTATAAACTTGGTACTGAATACCAAAAATAAATAAAATAAATAAATAAATAAATACAATTAAATATTAAAAATGTCAAATATCTGATATAGCTGCATATTAAACATCAAATGTCTTCTGCACTGCATGAACATGCATAACAAAGGTGGGCGACGTGGTTTATGTGATCTTACCCTTAAATGATTTCCCTCAACTCTCTGATAACCCCAAAGCTAAATTATGTACTGCTACACTGCAAAGCACCGTAATCAATATTATGTGACAAGATGCTAACCGTAACGCCGCCTGACAGCAATTTCATTGACTAATCAAATTAGACGAATGAAGGGAAAAGTGGAGATGAGTCCTCTTTTGAGAACATGACGAGGAATGTGCTTCATCGCTCGTCTCTGCATGCTTCCACGGCTCCCGAAAATAACTTGTACGAAATGTAAGTGAGATCACATGATTACTAAAAATGGTCTAGTTCATCTAAAGGAAATTCATTTTACAAGCTTTAATAATGCATGGTTTCAAGAGCATGCAGATTTTCTTGGCAAAAACTACAGCAAATTTCCACTTTGTTTCTTTTATTCTGTCTCTGCCAGCTAAATGTCTTTAATATCTTGATTGTTTCTCGTAAGATAAAATAGAGAGCAAATTAAAGGGATAGGGATAGTCGTTCCAAGCCAGAATCACTTTCACACAGGGTTGAAAAGATGCGATGGTGAGTAAATGATGACAGAATTTACATCTCTTTAAGACATTAATCCTACACGTCTCCTCTGTTTACTTCTGTAATTAACATCTGTTCCAGGTGATCTAAACACAAGTGATCAGTCAAGACAGATTGCCATTTACACCTAAATGCATCTCCTGTGACCTCCGATTTCGTGACTACTTACTTCATCTACTACATCAGTGATGTCGATGAAGCACAAAAAGTTTAAAAAGTCAGCACAGTTTAGCAGATGGTCCCATTTTAGAATCTTTTAACCAAGCGAAGGTGAGAACAGTATTTCATTGTGTAACTTTGCTGCACATAAATCTGATTGTGAGCTTAGCCTGACGGGCTGGTGGCCCTGTGGTCGCAGTTTCTCTCTCACAGCGGCTGGGTCACGGGCAAGCCAGCTCAGCTAACAAGATAAGTTCTGCAGCTAAGTGCCTGAATGAGAATGGCATGGTCCCAATCCCACAGACAGGGAGAGGCCCCTCTGCAAGTACGTCAAATGCTCTGCCTATCTGTGACAGGAACGCTTGCCAGGAATTAGAGGGGAAAAAAATCGGGTCTGGCCATTTACAGGGATTCCTGTAGTTCCTCTAAACAGTCTTTAGTGGTCTGTCATAACCAAAACAGCTTGTAGGTCAACTTTCACAGACAAACCATAGGAAATAAGTTATGGTTTCCTTGATAATTATGATGGTTTTGTTTGTGCCCACGGATGATTCAAGATAGCAGGATCCAGTTGCAGTGAACGTCTTTGTTTCTTTCTGGTATTTCTTCAGCATTGTACTAGGTAGCCTCACTCCCGGTGAAATCCTAATGGTTCCAGTGTATAAATACCAACTATGTTCTCAATGTCCATGCATTTCTGGTTTCAGTGTGGACTGGTAGCTGGAAACAGGAAATTTTAAGGAATTCTAAGAAGAGTGAAGAGGAGTCAAATCAGTAAACATCGCAAACTGGACTCAAACCTATTTCACCCACACAAGCACCATGGCTCAACTTCTCAAGCGTATCTGCATTATCGTGACTTAATTGAGTTTCCAAAAGGCCCCTGGATTCATCTTTGTGGGCATCTTACCCACAAATAGCAAGACCGGCTTGTCTTTGTCAATTACTTGGAAATGGAAATAGAAATAGCGACAAATCTTTACGTCTGTATTATGACCAGTGCTGGGTAAAATGTAATCCATTACTGATTCCAAATTACATGACAAGAATTGTAGTTAGTAACACAATCTGTTACATTATAAAGTTTAGATAATATAATCAGACTACTTTTAGATTACTTTTGACCTCACTTGTTTATCATATTTATTTAAAAATACAAAGAGAAAAAATATATACAGTATATACATATATATGAACTGTATATATATATATAGTAACGAACATGATGGCTACTTATAGCAAACAAGGAGGGTCACATGACATGAACAAACCAATGGGATGGAGGGCCAGGCCCGTGAAGAGGAACAGGCCAAGCGGGCAGCCATGGCAGAGCAGGCAGAGCGGGCAGCCATGGCGGAGCAGGCAGAGCAGGGAGACATGGTGGAGCAGACAGACCAGGGAGCCATGGCGGAGCAGACAGAGCAGGGAGCCATGGCGGAGCAGACAGAGCAGGGAGCCATGGCGGTGCAGGCAGATCAGGGAGCCATGGCGGAGCAGACAGAGCAGGGAGCCATGGCGGAGCAGACAGAGCAGGGAGCCATGGCGGAGCAGACAGAGCAGGGAGCCATGGCGGAGCAGACAGAGCAGGGAGCCATGGCGGAGCAGACAGAGCAGGGAGCCATGGCGG